TGCAACAGCTATCTTCTACAGTTAATAAAGACTTACTAGGCTTCTAACCCCTATTATAGAAGGTTTTTTTAATTATTATTATTCTCTTTTATTTTCATTAACTGTAAAAAGTATAATATTATGTAGTGCCAGTCAGTACCTTAATGTTTCAAAAGTGGTTTTTGCATGTACTTCATTCACGTGGTAGTTTAACAGCAGCTGACATTGAGAATAAAGAAGGAAGTATACAAAAATCAGGAGTGATCTCTTCTATAGTCCATAAAGTATTGTCAATGTGCACCTCAAAAGTTCCTTGAGGAGACGTTTATATACATAATTACAACAGTGAAGTTTTGCTGCAGTGGAAATTCTATCCATCGGAGTCATGAATGCCCTTGAAACACAAGCTGGTCTGTTTATGGCCTTTTCCTTTGTCCTTCTACCTATTCAGACTGCAAACCACACTGAAATGCTACTGAAGTACGCAAGAAGCAACACTAAAAAGCTAATTTCAACTTCTTACTGTTTCAGGATGATGCTCATTACTGGGAACTTCTCTTTACATATCCAAACTCTCCTCACATCCTTTGCATTGCAGTAAAGTGGTTCTCTCTGGAGTAATAGTCTGTAAGTTGTACGGCAGCTTCCCTTTTTACATAGCTTGAAGATGTCCTTTTTGATTCCATGAGAATTACAGGAAGCTGTCCTCAACCAGATCTGAGGAATCTATTCCAATGTCATCCATTATGTCAATGTCCTCAATGGTCTCATCCTCTCTCTTGATAAAGGTAGAGCTGCTGGAACCAGTCTCAATAGCACTTTCTTCAGATGTTTGGGAACTGTAAGAGACAAAACACTTAGGAACTATACACTGAGTAATAAACATAGTACAAGTCTCGGCACAGACTTTCTAACAACTTGGTAATCTTAGAAACCTGTGTCTCAAGATAGACATCTTGTATGAGAAAGTCACCAAAGGATAATTAATTGTCTTTGAATTTAAGTGAGCAAGTTCATAACTCTTTCTTGAGGACACCTTCTGCAAACTCATTCAGTCAGTATTTATGGAAGAAATAGTTGGCTTTAAAGAAGCCCCCAACAGAACAATGAGGTGTTGATGACAGCTGTCCAATTTAAAAAGTTGGGGAAAGTCAGGTAACTGGAAAGCTTGGGGAAAGATGGCAAAACATAAAGAGACCGTAAGTGCTTAGAGAGACTCCTTCCCCCAGTCAGTAGTGATGTCAGTCCTACATCTCTTGCTTATAATCCAAAAGGTCCACAATTTTGCTTCCTATGATTGCTTTATTATAAACTAAGTATAAATTAATGCTATTGAAAATGTTACTAGCCAGCTAAACCTAGATTTGGCCACACTCATTTACATCAAGCACAGTATTTATTTAGATTGATCAGATTCCATGAAAAGGAGCCCACCTAAAGACTTCAGGCACTCTGCCATCCAAACCCCCACATAAGAACACCTGGAGCAGCTTGACCCCTTCTATGAGTACCAGAAGGCCTCACATACAGTAAATCACTCACATACCTTAAAATCCTGCTTCAAGCCATTTATCTTTGACGAAAACAAATGGGCTTTCAAGTGTGTGCAGGTCAATCTATTTGTGCTATCCTGTATCTAGCTGGAAAGTGAGTTCTAAAGAGTGTCAGAGGGAACATCCTAACACCTACCCCATTTCTTTGGCAGCACAGCTGAGGAAGAGGGTGGTCCTTCACATAACTAGGTTCTAGTCCACAATGAAGGTCTGGCTTGATGGACTGCCCAATTGAAATCACTGTAACTAGTCATATAGAGCCCACTCTTGTTCTGTAGGTTGTCTCAGTGATGCCAATTGAGCTATTTTTAGAGTAAGGTACTATTCAATAAAACTAAGGGCATCAGAAACTGGGCCAGAATTGGGTGGTACAAGAAAATGTGGTCAGTGAGATAGTCTCTGGCATATAACAAACTGAAAACAGCATCTACCTGTGCCTGTTTCTTTTGCCAAGCTCATCTTCAGATACAGGGTCAATGTCAGGCAGAGGGATGATGTATCCACTGTCAGCACTCAGCCTCTGCTCATCAAATCCGCTCTCCCTATCCTTGAGTTTGTCTTCATTCTTGTAGGTGACACCGATATAGGTGTTGTCACAGTCCCCTCTCATGCGTGTGACAGCTGGGTGGTCACTTTTCAGGAAGTCCAGATGAATCTTTTCATAGCTCTGAAAATTTTCATTTTAAAATGTTATATGATGCACTACAATGAGGCCTCAATTATTCAGTCACCTTCTGCAGCTAGCTATGCCTCATGAACTAAAAGAAAAAGAATGATACTACCCTGTAAGCAGGTACAGTGCTAGTGCCTGAGGCTTTGATGTCTGAGCACCTGGGTTACCAGGATCCCAGCATGAGATGTCCCAGGGACTGGCAACCCACATGCTATGGCTGGCTCTGTCCCACCCACTGGATCCAGCCTGGCCTGGGTGGTATGGGAATCACACAACATGTGACTGCACCTAGCAACTGGTCTCCTCTGCAGCCACCTTCTCCTAAACCTTCCCTTCTGCTCTCTCATGCCTGTGCTTAACCTCACTGCAGAGAAGCTAGGTATGTTCAGTGAGGTAAGTACAGGAAGCTTTAGCTCTCCAGGGGATGGAGATTTATAGCCCACAGTAGGAAGCTGGGTCACAAGTTTGAGTCCATAGCAGCAAAAAGTTGCTGACCTCTAAAATAGACTATTACAGTAGCATAACTAAAGTAGGGCAACTGGGGCAGCAGCCCTGGGTGCTGCTATTGTTGGGGAGGGGTGCAAAAGAAGGTATTGCCACAGCAGCAGCCAGCACATCAGGAACCAGTGCTGCCCCAGGTGCTGCATGGCTGCCCTGGGTGCAGGGCCGCACTGCTAATATTAGAAAGATGTCTATGTTTCTTTTCAAAGTAGTGCCTATATGCATTACATGTGTGTATTTTGGCGCACTAGCACCTGTGTGCAGGCAAATTATGGCATCTTTTGATTGGCACTTGTAAAGCATATAGGGAGATGTTAAATTCAGTGAGCACTTAGGCCATGAGATTGATTACCACTTAAGTGTTAGGTCACACCTATACAGTAAGTTTACTGTGCCTGGCAATGGTGCCCTCAAGCATGCTGTGCTATTCTACATATACTGCATCCTAAAATGGAAGCTATGTTGCTGCAATTATATGGTTCCTTGGGCAGGCTAATTAGAAAAGAAAAGAAATAAAGGAGACTCAGTTAGAGGAGCCTTGGCATGAAGGATTAAAGTATGAACAGAGAGGGTTTGTGGATGCTGAGTGGGATTATACATACAGGTCAACTGATATCTTTTTTTCTTTTTAAGGATTCTTGCATTTCCTTAAAGAAAATCTATAAAATAGGTAAAACCATCTCTTTGGTGATCAGAAGGATTCAGATGTATTGATGCCTGTTGAAAATGGATACTGTTCTCAAGTAATATTGTAAAACTAGTCTCTATCAACAACATTCATGTTTTCATAACTGTTTACTCTATCTGAATCATTTAATTCACACACACAAATTGCTCATTGCTCAGGTTGTCTGAATAGCAGTTACAACCCTTCCGGTACAGACAAAATACAATGAAAATTCCAAAAGGCAAACCTTCTTGTACTCTCCAGGCAATAGACACTCAACAATTTCACTCAAATGGTAAAAAGAAGGTCTTTTTTCTGGTTCACTGTTCCAACACTTCACCATGATCTCATACCTGAAAATAAGGTGGAATCCAGTTTAACCAGCTGCAAGTTGCAATAAATAGCCAACAAAGTGATGAAAAATAAAATAAATTATTATTTTAGTCCAAATTAGGAGAGAGGAAAAAAGCATACATACACTTCATTGGTGGCATGGTCAGGTTTTGCCATTCGGTAGCCACTTTTTATCTTGTTATAGAAAGTAGAATCAACCATCATTCCAGGGTAAGGTGTGCCACCTAATGGTCAAAACAACAATACAAATGCACCAACAGTGAGGAGTGACTCTTACATTGTTTATTTGAATACTTGTAGTGTTATAATCACAGAATCACTGGGTACCTTTACCCAATGTATTCTAATTGGATTAGATCTAATTAATCAAGTCTGTTCCAGATTCGAATTAGAACTCTCCAGCATCACCACAGCATCACGTGTATAAGCCCCCACAGGTTTAAAAATGACTGCTGGAGTGCTTTAACTAAAATTTGTTGAAGGAGCTTTAAACTGTCCTGCAACCATTTTTAAACCTGTGGTAGCTTAATACATGTGATACTTTGACATTTTAATTAGACTAGCTCTCCAGAAACGACTCTAATTAAAACACCCTCCCCTGCTTGAGTAGGCGCATTTATAGGCACCCATAGAGAAGTAGGGCTGGAAGGAATGTCTGGAAGTCATCTAATCCAAGGCCCTGCCTGAGGTAGAATCTTCCCTATCTAAACCATCCTATACAAATCCATTGTCTAACCTCCTAGCAAAACTGTACACGACCCAAACATGACACAAGACATAACACCCTAATCTGCCACAGGCAAAGCAGAGGGACCATGGCAGCCAACATCCTGCTGCTGCAAAAGTTATTAAAATATGGTCAAGAAATACCAGAAAGAGGGCCATAACCCTGCTACCGAGAAAAGCAAGAAAACCTACAGTCCATACCAATCAAAAATTGCTTTCTGACCCCTAATGTGGCAATCAGTCTCAAGTCCCTCCAGCAAGGAACCTCCAGGTTTTAGTCCCAGCAAGAACATTGGCACACCCCAGTCAAAATCCTCAGCCTTGTCTACAGCCACAATCCAATGCTTCTGAGAAAGGTTTAAAAAAACCCTGACACATGTAGCAGCAGGAGGGGTAAAAAATTCCTCCAAGCCCCATGCATCCACCAGCAAAATCCAGAAACATGGGAAATACCCATAGTAGAACACTGGCATAACTATGCCTAGAACATCCCTGACCAGTGGCTGTTCAACCTTTTCTTGAACACCTCATGATGGAGAATCCACAACTTGCCTAGGCAGTCTATTCCCTGGCCTCACTATTCTAACAGTGAAGAGGTTTTTCCTGATACTTGCCTTGCAAGCCTTTTATCATTTTTCTCACCTGCCTCTGAATTCTCTCTAACTTTTCCATATCCTGTTTAAAATATTGAGCTTAAAACTGCACACAATATTTTAGATGAGATCTAACAAGTGCTGAGTAGAGAGACACTATCAGCTCCTGTGTCTTGCATCTGTTGATGTATCCCATAACTGCATTTGCCTTTTGCATGGCTGCATCACACTGCAGACTTGTATATGAAAAAACATATATATAATTAAACCCCAAACAGACAGTTATGAAACAGCATATATTTTCTGGTGGGCATTTGAAAAGCTGGACATGAAAGTTGGATCAGGGAAGGCTTCCTAATTAAGGCATCTCATTAATATTCTTGAAATGGATTTTTTTTATATTTTGAAGAGTGCTAAGAATGTCTTTTATATGAAGGATAGGGAGGCTAAACTAGATATCAGAAAACCATTAACAATGTTCTGAATTTATTACTACTGTGCTGTATATTATTCATTTAAATTTTGTGATGCAACAAGAGCTAAGGATTAATTGCTGCTTTAAAACTGCAAATAAATATAAATATGTTATCATACATACACATATAGGCCATGTCCAGACAAGTGTGGCCATGTAGTATGTGATACCACAGGCACATCTGCAGCACCACATACCACACGTTCAGTTGTTCTCACACTGCAAGGGAGCAGCACGGAGGGTTTTTTGGACCCCTGGATATCCAGGGGTCAGAAAAACCTGTGGAGAAAAAAAGCAGAGTAGTGCACACAGGGGCAGCACTGGCTGCTCAAGAGTGGAGCTGGACCATTTGGAACCACGCTGCAGCTGCCAGCCAGGCTCTGCGTGGCAGAATTGCTGCTGCTGCAGCCCCAGGAGGCCCCCAGGACATCAGGTAGGGCTGCTGGGGCCAGCCCAGTGATAGCCCCAGCCTCCCCTACTGCCCCCAGGGTAACTTACCACACACCAGATGGCATGTGGCATAAGCGTTCCCCAGGGACAACTAGCAGCAGTGCAAGGTGCACCGCCACTAGTTTCCCCAGGGAACCAAATGTCCACATCACATGTGGACATGGCCATAATGAGCATTTTCTTTAACTCCCAACAAAGATTTATGGCAGACCACAGCGGTTTGACTTAATTACTGGCAATATTATTTGTTACTTGTAAGGCACCAAAATGGCATCAGATCTAGGTTCTAAAAATTGACAGGAGGATACTAGAAAGGATCCATTATTTATATAGCATATATAACAGTATACATATTTATCAGTAGAATGCTCATTCTTTTTAATGGCTTTAGACTTGATTGATGCTTTGATACAAATTTATGTTTTCTATATAGTTATGTCTATATAAATACTTGGACTTGACCTTAAGTTGACTCTAAGGCTAGGGACAGACATTCAAAAAGCCTGAGTCTGAATTGATTCAATCTTTGCAGGTTAGTTTAACCTGGCTAGGCTAAATCAGTTTGTAACTGCTGAGACATCCCAGACATGCCGGCTAAAGCAGCCCTCCCTTCCCTTCAACAACACTGAGCAGGGGGGGTGGGGCATGGCAAGGGCAAGGCAGGATGCTCCCATTATCCCAGCAGGGAATTAATAACTGTGTTTATCACCCCTAACTCAGTGCTTATCACCCCATGAAGAAAATAACAGATTACCAGCTACCTGTTGATTCTGCCTTTTTTCCCATCTGCTACAGCAGGGACCATAGCCAGCATGTGGTCTGCTAGCTAATACACAGACACCTCTCAGCAAGGCAGAGGGAAGAGGGGAGGGGAATTCCTGCTTAGCAGGGAGTGGTGAGGGAGTTGTGGGGGAGCAGCCTGCAGTCTCTGCTGAAGGTCCAGCCAGGGAGCAGAGGGGAGAGGCCAGCTCTGCTGTGAAGCAGGGAACTCCACCCAACCCAGAGAGCATGCCAGGATGCTGGGGGTGTCTGGTGCTGGGACAGACATTGCATAAACTGGTTTGACCCAAATTAGTTATGCCTGACACTACATTCAACCAGGTTTATCTCAAACTGGTTTCAGCCATTTTCAGTTTATGTGCACTGAACATCTGTTCTGTTACAGGTTTAAACCAGTTTCTGATCACTTAAACTGGTTTATTTGTAATGTCTGACCCTAGCCTAAAGCTCATGTTCGCTAACTGTCTGTACTATAAACTGTGTTTCTTAACTCCCAGCAACAGTTCCTGCCAATTGTGGAAGCCTCAAATACAGGAAGACCACAAGCAACAATCCCACAATTCTTTGTTTCTCACTTCCAGCCCTTTTGCACCTCACTTCTTTTTACTGGCTGTAAATAAAGATAAGCACAGATGGAGCATCTAGCTCAATAAGGACTTTGATCCCAGTAATATATATAATATAAATAACTAACAATAATTAACCACAGGTATTTTATCAATACTGTAGGGTTTACAGTACTTTAAGGCATTACAAACTCAATAAGCTTAATTATTGCATATAAGGAAGTCCTTATAGTACATACCAAGAGAAAATATTTCCCACAGTAGAATGCCATAAGACCAGACATCACTTAATGTTGTGTACAGATTGTCAAAAATGCTCTCAGGTGCCATCCATTTCACTGGAAGAAATGTCTAAAAAAAAAACCCCATTAATCATTAAATTCTCCTCAGCACACTGGATGATCTGTCTGATAGCATGAACAAGGTTTTCTATAATAAGTAGACATTTGCTAAAATGGTTAGTAATTATTTTTCTTCAAATAAACATGAAATGATTATGAGATGAACTGCTTCCTCCTCATAAAATCTAATCCAAGGATTTGATTTGCTAGTTTATTAGCAAATGACCCAGCTGATTAAGGACATGATATAAGAAGTCACTGACTGATATGGTATGCTGTATGTATCACAGTGACAATCCCTTAGTAATTTAACCAGTCACAGAGCTTGCCAATGAAAATTTCAGCCTGAAAAACTCTAGATGAGTCCAAGGACTTTTCATCATTCCAGAAGACTAAGTTATGTGAATTAATGAACTGAAGAAAAATCATTCCCAGAGTTTTCATCCAACTATCAATTAGTGTAACCAAATGTTGAGCAGAAGAATTATAAATGGCATTTTAAGCTGACACTTATCACCTCTAAACTAAAAAGATTAAGAAGTACATACACTGCCTTTGGAAACATAGTTGGAATCGTGCATGATGTCCCTAGCCAGACCAAAGTCACAGATCTTCACAATTTTTCCTTGAGCTAGAAGGACGTTACGAGCTGCCAAGTCACGGTGCACACACTGCATGAAAAGAAAATAAATCATTTTAGAGATACAAATTCCCATGAGAGCCCTTTTCCTTAAGAATGCACAACTCCCTCCCTGAAAAGGCGTAGACTTGTTAACCTACTGGGGCCAATATAAATTGGGCCTCCTATTGTGAAGCTATTTGCAAAGGACAACTGGTGGGGGAGGGTAGTTCTTGTTTGCCATACACACCTGACTGGCAGTTGCTGTAGGACATAATGGGAGAAGAGTGCTGCTGCCTTTGTTTTGTATATCCCATTTATCCTTTTTTTCAAGTTAATGGCAAAAGTGCCTAGAACCCTAAAAAGGCCTTTCCTTTTAGCTGTGTCTCTCAATCCAAAAAAAATAAATGCATGCTTTGAAACTAGGCCAGTGCTACCCAACATTTTGGCCCATGGGCCAGATGAGAACTGCAAGGTGGATTCGCAGGCCAGATACAGTGTGTGGGCCCTATCTAAAGTAACAGCAGCTGAGGGCCCAGCACCACATCGGGCCCACTGTGCCTGCCCCAGCCCCAGCCTCAACCTTGTTTGTGGCAGATTGGGCCCCACTGCCCCAGTCCTACCTTCTCTGCAAGCTACATGGGAAGAAGGCCATGTCATCTGACTCTCAAGGCTTAGAAATGTGGCAGTGGGAAAGTGGTGGCAGCCTTAATTGCCACTGATCCCTTGCCACCAAATTTCTGGACCATTCAGGATCCCCACAGGCTGGATCACAAGGCTCTGAGTGTTGGAACTGGCCCTCAGGCCAGAGGTTGAAGACCCCTGAACTAGGCCATGCCTGTTGTATTCCTCAGGGACACTTACATTTTTAGAAGCCAAGAACTCCATTCCCCGTGCAACTTGATAGGTGAAGCTCAGTAAGTCCAGTAGGCTGAGGCCTTCAGAACTGTCATCAGAAAGTAGGTTCTTGACTTCAGATTCTGTTAAAAAAAGGTAAAAATGTGCTTGCATTATAAACATTTCTTAAAGTTGTGAAAAAAATGTCCAATTCTTTCTACTTTCTGTGAGGCTCAGTTAATGACTTTAACAGAGTATCATGGGCCAAGACGGTCTTCTCAGAGTAACTAACTCCTGTGTATGTTTGTATTAGTTGCTGACACATACCACATTCTTTTTTAAAAAGAAATTTCCAGTACCAAATATAAGGTTTGTTTTTTTCTGTATATAATTTTTCCCAGAGGATTATAGCAAAATGCTAAATTTAAAAAAAGCTGTCAGCATATTACATGGGTTGCTTTTTCCTATTCAATTTGTGGTTAAAATGAAATACTGATTTAGAGATGGTAACTTCATTACTTTTTTTTGTACATGTATGTACCTTTTTTACCATTAACTTTTGCTGAGCACTGTTATGCTTCTCAGCAAGCATTCACTGGGACATGTCCAATACTATCAAAAAAAGGTCAGGAATTCTATGGCAAGAGTTCTTCATTTTTATGAAAAATGACAGCAAAATGCAGACTAAATCCAGTCATTCATTCAGCCATGCTAACCTAGATCAAAGCAACAGTGCATTAGTCTACCATCTAATTCTGGATCTGGATATGATTTAGGTCCCAATGCCAGAAGTGATCAAGACTATTTCGGAAGCAATGCATTTAGTTGCTGAGAAAAGGGATAGGGAATGGGACATTTTCATTGCCCTCGTTACATAATGCAGGAAAGTATTTGGGAGTGTTCTCTATTTGGAAAGTGTCAGTTAAAGCGAAATGTAAATGGAAACAGAAAAAGATAGATTATTGTTATTATTACTTGGTCCTATTGCTCAAAAATTTGCAAAATACATAAACGTAACAAAAAACTGTTGCCATGAAAGACTCTGTGAATACCTTCATGCCATGCAGCGTAGCCACTCATACTTCACAGCAACAACAAAAACAAAACTCTATCCATTCTGCTCCTGATGGAGCACAAGCTCCTATCATTAAATTTAAACAGTATAAGCCTTACATGACACAGGTGAGAAAGTCCAGTGCCATGAGGAGGACACAGATAATATGTGTGTTTCTGTAGCAATGTGTTTTTAATAACAATGAATACAAAAGAGAGAGTTCTTAGTTACCTGACATGGATTTCTTCTTGTATGAAGCAGGTCGATCATACATAGATCTCTGGATATCAGAATATTTAGAACCCTCCTTCCTTTCCAGCATGGGCACATACTGGGTTGTATCAGCTTGTTTCATGTCCATGTATTCTCCATTGTTTTCAAAGGATAAAATTACATAACTGAAATATAAACAAGCATTGCCCAGTAGATACATTAATATTTCACATGACATCTTCAATCAATTTCTGGATGGTGGTTCGCTCTAAACCCATAATTTCTCTTCTCTTCATTTTGCTCTGAAGTATAAAAGTATAAAAGCTCACATATGGTAATAAATATTACAGTTGATAAAAGTATTCCAGCCAGCCAGCCAGGTTTCATAGAATCTATTCTGCTGTGTGAACCCATATTCTCCTAAATATTTCCTATTCACACAAGTCAATGAGGTATTTACATGGGTGACAATTCCTGGAATCTCTCTATGTAAAGTTTATGAATTCTGATTAATTTTATGAAATTGTGTAGAGACTCATATATTGTTTTCAGGTGGTAGGAGCTAAAGAACAAATAAAAGAAGGTATTAACTTTAGTGCTGGGACTCTGCCCAAAGAGTGTTCATGTAAAGGAAGGTGTTTGCCCTTGGAGACCCAGTGCTAGTAAGTGGTCTAAAAGGTTGGAAGGGTCAGAGAATGGAAAATACCAAGAGAACAAAAAAGCAGTCAGAAATTGTTCATGTTTAAAAGATTATAATAACACACAGAAGCAAAAAATAATACGGTGGGTGAAAGAAGCACATTGATCATTTTTTGTTATAGAAGGGTGCAGTGTTCACAGTAGGGGTGCTACTATGAAGAGCCACCTGCCTCAGTGTGCCAGGCCTAAAACCATGCTTTGGGAGTCTCCCACAGAGGTCCTACAGCCAGCTGTCCCGCTTCCTGAAGAACACCCACAAGCCTGGAGTAATGCTGCCACCACCTGGGCACTGGTCCCTGGTAGGGCTCTGGGCAGCCCAGGGCACACAGACCCTGCAACCCTTGGAAGCAATTTGCCCACAGTAATATTTCTGGGTTCTTTTTTCAGCCTGAAGTATCCAAAGATAGCACCAGGTAACTGAGGGAAAATAAAAAGACAAACTGGCCAAGCTGGAAGTAAAAGCCTTCCTCTCTCTCTACCCACAGTAGCACAGCAAGGCACGCTGTAACTCAATACCTTTATTGATAAGGGGCGGGGGAGTGGGGGGGTTAGAACAAGGAAATCAGAATACACTTTGAGCAAACATAAGGAATGTGAGTCTTTTGCAGGTACAGTAAAAGCCGTGTTATCCAGCACCTTACAAGCTAGCATGCTCTACTAACCGGCATGCTGGCTTGTAAAGTAAAGCAAAACTGGAAGTGCCCACCATGGCATTTCCAGTTTCTCTGAGCCCGCACAGCCCGAGGCAAAGCAGCCTGGGCTGCCAAGCCCCAATGGCCCAGGGGCATAACAGGCTGCACGGGGCCCGCCTCCCTGTCCCATGGGGCTCCCAGGGCCCGTGGAACGGTCAGCGATGCCATGGGAGGGGCAGCGATGCCCCAGATGCGGTGGGAGAAGCGGCAGCCCAAACAGGCAAAGACGCCTGTTTGGGCCGCTCAATTAACCAGCGTATTTTGTTATCCGGCATCCCGTTTCCGGGGGATGCCAGATAACAGAGCTTTTACTGTAATTGGACCCGTAATCCTTTTAAGACATGACTGGCCTAAACATAATTCCTAACTCCTGGCCACTTTCCAGGGGTTTACTTACAGAAAATCACAGGGGCATCTTGCTCATGGTGTTCCAAAATGCCTGCCACCAGGAAGAGGACACTCCCATCTCCCCCTAGGAATTTATCTGACCAGGTCATCTGATTGACCAGCCTGTACTAAGAAGAAAACCAGGAGATAGAGGGGTCACCTGGGTTGGCCCAAGTGAGGGGTAGAGAGAGGGGGAGAGGATTTCTTCACAAAGGTTACTTTGTGAATTCAGAAATAGTTGAGGAAAAAGGAAGATGGCTAGAGGAGAGAAACAGCAGACTGCAGGCTAAAGAAGAAAAATTATAAAGAGAGAGGTGCAAGGGAAGGTGGCTTGGAAATCTTGAAGGCCCAAATCCCAAAGAACACTTGTGTGAGGAAACTGAGATGGGAATTGGAGTACAGGTGTTATATGATTTTTGTCTAGATCTCTGTATCTCTTGTGTTACTGAATGTAAAGAGTGATTGGTTTTAGAACTTTGCAAGGTCTCTGTGGTATGTGTTTCAACTATCATGTTTTCTTGAAAAAGTCAACTGTAACTCAAAGTGCCTGCATAGTTGGGTTTGGGAAAGGATATGCACAAGCAATTTGGTTATTTATGAGGGGCTTAGCACTGGTTCTGGGGCCTAAAGCAACTCTCTGAAGGGCTGACAGCAGAGTCAGTGTCCAAGAAGTGTATTGTGCTGGACCTTGCTAAGACTGAATAAAACCTGATGAATATCCAGAAGAGGGAGCTTTATTGAGAGCTGTGACATCATGAATAAAGAAAGAAAAAAAAAGGAGAGTTTTCAACATCACACCCTTAATTTGCAAAATATAATAATTTTTTACTTTTCTCACCTTCTTGTGCTTTCATCAGCTGGGTTCATGCCAAAGATGTCCAAGTCCTTCTTCAGCTTTTCTGGGTGTCGGCTTAGAAAATTATCTCTGTTCTTATGCAAGTAGTTTACCAAATCCCCATAAAAGCAGTATTCAGTAATGATGTAAATTGGACCTAATTAAATAAGGCAAAATAATACATTTCTGATTTAAAAAGTCATTGTAAAAATAATGAAATTCACATACAAAGGTGTCAAGAGTTATAAGTTTTTGGTTGTTGATCTGTGAAGGTAAATACTGGTATCAGTTTATGAACCCATTCTGTCATATTTATTTTAAAAAGTTCTTGTTAAACACTGCTCAACTGTGTTTAACTTTAGCTCTTAAGTAAACATTAACTTTGTGCTGAATAAAGCCTACCTGATTTGGTACAAGCTCCTAACAGATTCACAATGTTCAAATGGGGCCCAAGATGTGTCATTATCTTCAGTTCAGACATTAGTGCTTGTTTTTCACTGGATCTCGCTGTGGCTATTGGAAAAAATAAATAAGCCTGTTAAGACAAATGTTCCATGTTATTGTAAATCCTATACAGTCAAGGCAATTTTTTCATGCAGTATATATTGCTTTCCTGATGGAAACTTTTATGTAATGGTGTACTTCGTATGATGAATGCATAATACTGAAGAATACTATTAATGACCAACAAAGAACTCACTTGACTCAATTTGTTAAAGGGTCCTGCCTGTTTGCACATATCCAGTGTTGCAAAGCAGCAGCCATACATCCCATTTTCGTGTTGCAAAGCAGCAGCCATACATCCCATTTTCACTGCCACTCTAAGAGCTCCTATGTCATTTCTCCGCTTTGGGAAAAGCCTTGTTAGGAAAAGGGGCATAATCGAGAATTCCAGTTCCCTGGTGACACCAGAACCTAGAATGACGCTGGTAGTCACAAGCTGGTGGAACAAAGTAGAGCAGCTCTGGGGACTACTTGACTTCATTGTGGGAAGCAAAGTGAGAGCCAGACAGACCCAAGATCAGTAGGTCACAAAAGTAGTTTAAAGACAATTATGTTCCATTATTCCACTCTTGTATCCCTGCTTTTTATATTATTTATAATCCAAGAGCTAGCCAACAGCTTGCTATTATCAATGCTCAGTACCACTATGAAAAGTACTTACAGAAATAGAAATATTAGAATTCAACAGTGTATAATTATGTATAATGTCACATCATGTAAGTTTTTCCTGTGTAATGGACAATTATGTTGTAGACATTCATTTAAAATTTCTTTTAAAGTCCCTGAGTCAGATCCTGAACTACTAGCTAGCTTCATTTCAATCTACATGAATTTATAGCAACTAAAAACCTGTCTGATTCTACTTAGTTACACCATAATGTCATTCTAACGTACTCAAAAATTTAATGATTATTATATCATTTTCCAAGCTTACTGAAGTATCATGACATTTTGGCTGAAATAGTACCTTCTAACAATCTTCAGAAGCATAGCGAATAAAAAAAAATCACAAATAACACTAAACAATCCAAAGGATAATCTCAAAATCAAATAGTTCTCTAGTTTACTTTCCAATTTAACAGTGGGAAGAAATCACTTATACACACCAAAACAAAGCTAACCATCTGTTGTGAACGTGAGCTATCTAGTTTGGAAAGTGGAATCACAAAGATTACTTACGTTTCAGCATTTTCACGGCTACCTTCATCACTGGTTGAGAGCGACTTAACCCATATGCAGTTCCCTCAACAACTTTGCCAAATGCACCAGAACCAAGAATTCGACCTGCAGATAACAGAGTTTCACAATAGCTTATCTCAGTGTTTGTAACCATTGCTCTTTATGTTCACTCTTACACAGCATGAATATACTCGTTCATCCAAAACATCATCATAATCTTGTATTATGGTTGTTGTTGTTCTTGTTATTCATAAAAGGAAAACAAATAAAAAATAGTAGTTTTAATCAAATAATATTTCTAAAAATAAAATAAAATAAGCAAACAATGAAGAGCAACTATAACTGGCTTCTGTGGGGCTGTGCCTTCCTACTTAAGGGTTAAACCCATTAAACCCTCCATGTTTAATGTTAGGCCCTTAACCTAGTACTGGACAGAATTTCAGACTGGAACTAACAATTAAAGCAACCTACAGCTCTCAGGACAGATGCCGCTTGCAGAGCCAGTGGATCCAATCTGCAGAGCATGGGCTTCAGCAACATCCAGCAACAGGGGTCTCCACCTGTGCCACATCAGGTGACATTGCACCACAGCTATGCAGCCAGACACTTCCCTCATGCTGTGTCACAACTGGGTAGCAGAGAGAAGTAGCAGCAGGGAGAAGTGGTAGTGAAGGCTAGGTCCTAGTGCCAGCCCATCTTTGACCAATCTGGGTCATTCCAGCTCACTGCCAGAAAATGTTGCCACCCCCTGAATTAAAGGCTGGTTCCATAAAGTGTATTGGACCATGAGAGCCACGCTTTAATGATACAGTATATTTGAGGGTGGTATCAGTTCAGTGTAAGACTACAAAAGTAAGTATTACAAACAATCTGAGAGACATTAAAATACATGTTGATCACATATGAGGGAAAAAAACCTCTGAAGTTTAATACGCAAGTGTGTTTCATATGCAAGAACAGTTTTTTATTGTAATTTCCAAATGCTATAAGACACCTGATGTTTATACCTACTTTTTCCTACCCACAAATCAGGTCAAACAAAAATGTTGGATTATCATATCCTGTCTTCTGTTATGGATTCAGTGTGCAAAAGGACTAGGTATAGAGCTGATACAAAGGCTTAGGCCAGATTTTTAAAGAAATATGTGATGGGCAAATATACATAAAAATAAATGTATTTAATAGATTTCATAGTCAAAGTCAAGTCAAGTCAAAGTCAAATTTACACTAAAACAGTGAAAATTTAGTGAACAAAGCCACTTATAAATTCCAGAAGTTAGTATTTTATCATACTTGTCATCCATGTTACTTTTTACAACCAGTACAAAAAATAGTGCTTGTTCTTAGCACTTAAAAATACAATATTGCATCTTTCGAAGTATTTATGTAATTTAAGTACTTATTTTGCCATATACTGCACTTTTACCTCTCCCACGCTCCTAGTGGTGCTGTTTCTAGAGAACCTACTCTGTATTGTCACAACACACAGTACTCGATTTTAGTGTGTGTGTGTGTGTGTGTGTGTGTGTGTGTGTGTGTGTGTGTGTGTGTGTGTGTGTGTGTGTGTGTGTGTGTGTGTGTGTGTGTGTGTGTGTGTGTACATATATATAACTAATAGACTAAGTCCTCTGTGTTGTTTTCAGCCAAAAAATTCATCATTTATTTTACTAAAGTTGGACAGACACTGGGCTGGGATGGTTTAGTCTGGAATGAACCTGCCTTAAACAGAAGTCAGACTAGATGACCCTGTCCCTTCCAGCCCTACTTACCTATGATCCTATGTAAAAGATGGTATTTTCAAAAATGATTACAGCTGGTGTAATTTAGTTCTCATGGAAAATCAGACTTAAGTTCACTGATTCTGATTTTTGTGCATTCCTGGTTTCTCTTATGATTCAGGATATGAGCAAGCTTCCTACTATACTGCAAACTGATTCAAACATATTGAGGTTGAAATGTATCCTCTGAATATGTTCAGATGAAAGGTCTGTGAACCACATGGCAGGATGCAGCTCTTAAAACACAATGGTATGTGCCGAAGCTGCTTGATCTTGTCATTTTCATATGCCAATTCCGCCCAAAACCATATTGTCAGTTGAGCATGGAAAATACTTCCTCTTCATCAGCACCTCAGATAACTTTAGCCCCATGCAAAGAAGGCCAGGAGCACTTCCTGGATTCCAGGAATTTGTTGTTATCATCTCGCCTTTTCATTCCTCTCTATACTTTTATTTTTTAGACCTACTCTGCATGTGTTTTATGAAATTGGGTGGGAGCTGACTGAACAAATAGCATGCAGCAAAATTCTGCCTACTGATACTACACTGGATTTGAATTAGTAGCCCAAAATCAAACTATGACTTTTTTCTTTCTAAGCCATAGCAGAGTACCATAGCAACCACCTTGGAAAGCAAATTACAGTTTTTCTGCGAAATGAGTATAGCCTGAGCAACAATGATACAAGATTCCTCACACTGATGAAGAAGCCATGTTCAAGATTGAAATTTTTCTTCAGTATAACCTCTGTCCCTATCCTCATGGCTTCCTTGTTGACATGGCCAAAGAGAGTGCGATTTTTTAGCTAACATAAACTAAATTCTGTGCTTGGTCAAATGCTGAAGTCAATAGAGCTGTTCCATATTTAGACATATGAAGTAGATAAATCTGCACTTAAATAGAATTGTCTGTGTTGACAATGTCACCCAAGCCTTGAAATCTAGGGCCATCTTTGTCTCCTTGCTCTTTATTACCTTTCCCATCTAAGCTTCTTCTTCCATAATATTTTAAGTGCTCTCCAGCCAGAGAGCAGACCTCTGCCCTGTACTGATTATTGTAACCTCCTCTTCTCTGAGCTCCCCTCCCTCCACATGGCTTCACTCCAGTGGTGGGCTAAATAGCACAGGAATAAGTTAATGAATACTGTAATTTGGCTAAGTAGTTATCCCACCCAAAGTACTACATTGCCTTAGCAACACTGATTCTAGTTTAAGAGGTAGCCTGCCTACTGGAGGGTGCTACTGCCAGCTACAGTCAATTTATCATGTAGACGTGCCCTGAATAGCTACCACACTAGGCTACTCTGTACTAAAATAACTAAGAAGTAACAGACTTTGTAACCTACATCCAAACTGTTAAAACAAGTAAATGAGTGGACCACTGATTTCAATGGTGGTTCCATACATTAAGTAGTTAGGTGCTTGGCTTGATTTCTATGTAATATTGGTAGTCTAAAGACATGAATAGTATCTGTAGTTTTATCTGTTAGACTTACATTGGGTTTTAATGAGTACATTGTGAGATATATATGATCAAGTCTGAAATCAGGGTGGTCACTCTGAATCAGGGTGGTGACACATTCAGAAGTTCACGGCACTAGCAGGGAGAGAACTCAAACCCTGCTACTCTGAAAATAATGTTTTCTGCCACTTCCCAGTATAGTATTCTAACCACCAAGTGACAAGTTAGAAATTCTCCAGCCCTCCTCTTGAAGCTAACCCTGTTGGCAGCCAAAAGAATAAGATGGCCAAAGAAGGTTCAGTGAGATGACTACTGTTCTGTTGTGTTATACCCTGGGCCTTTGCTTCCACTGGGGCAAAAACTTTCCACTGCTCAACTTCTATTTTATCCAATGAATATTAAATACAAGGTTCAGTGGTTCAGCCTCAAAAAAGGGCTAGAAAGGAGTTTGGATAAGGACAAATCTATGCCTAAAGAGGTTAGCATACTGTCCTGGGGAGTTGGACAGATGTGTATTCAAGCCCCGCCCCCCCCCCCGCGAGTGAGGGCGGGTCTAGAACATGGGTATCCCATTTCCCAGTGTCCTAACAACTAGGCTATTGGCCTACATCATAAGAAGGTTCCCCACTCCTCCTGTCATGTTCAGCTGCAATTTAGGATTTATACATAGGTACGTGCATATGGAGCCATGTACCTGCCAAGTTGGAGTGTAGCATTCAAGTCATACACAGTAGTCATGCAGATACTTGTGCATCTACTCTGCATATGGAATAGACTCACAAACTGGGTGTAAGTGTAAAAAATGTCAATTACACATTTGGGAAAGTGCCATGTGGGCATATAAAATTAAATAGAATTCTTCCCTGTATGCGCTATGTTGGAAAAATGAGAACAAAGTAAACATATTAGTGTAAAACTTATTTATGGAACTCCAGACAGTTGAAGATTTCACTTTAGGAATGCCAAAAATTAAATCATAATCCCTGGTTTTCCCAACTCATACATTTTCAAAGAGTATTGAGTATTCCTTGAAAGTCAGTGGATTTCTACTGGGCTAAATGAAGGCAGAATATAGCCTATCAAGTATGGTGAAAAGCTTAATATGTATCAGAAAAATAGTTGTGAAAACCATTGCTGATTGCTACAAGAACATACAGTATAATTTTTTATAGCTATTCATTATGAATTTACTCATAAACAAGAATGCAATAGAGTAAACTGATGGTAATGAGTCAGAGAAACAAAATTACTGTGGTGGACTCTTAACAATTCAGCTCTGACAAAATCTTTTTATGTACATAATTAAATCCAGAAATGTAATAAAATAATTCCTTTAAATATCTAGCATGGTTTAAGCTCATATTAGCAGCATGAATTTAATTAAGTGATTATTTTCCTGAACAAAAATTTATTTGTGATACATTAATTGTGAAAATTAACAGCAATCCTTTCTAAAACAAGAATTGCTTTTGTTTTTGTTGACTTGTGCAACAACAACCAGCAATAGAAAAAGTGAACATATTTTAAAAACATACTGGACAAAAATAACTTCCACTTTTTCTTCACCTGTAGTTTTTCAATTAATTTGATGTGCATGCCTCTAAAAATAGAACATTAGAAATGTTTAAGTCAATAGAAAATAGAGAGAGGGCATAATTATTTATTTTACATTTCTCGGGATTATGCTAGGATCTTATAGTTCACCTATAATGATATAAGGTACCTGTCCTTACAATAAAATTCTTCATGAGACTCAACAAAGGGACAGCAAAATAGTAAAAAATGCATGACAAGAAAATAATGGTCACAGAAATAAAATTATGACCTTACTCAACAGTGATCAGGGCCAGATTAACCCATTAGTGGCCCCTAGGCAAACAAACTCATGGGCCCTGGGTGGGTCAAGGCCCTCCACCCCTGCGGCACTGCCCCGTGCAGGGAATGGGGCTCAGAGCTGCCGCTAAGAAGCAGCTGCAGTGGCAGTGTGGCCAGCAGAGGGGAGGGAAGGGAAAGAAAGGGAGGCAGATGGGACCATTTGTGCTGCTGTCATGGAAGGACCGGGGCTCTCCCACAGCTCAGAGCTATAGGAATGTTCCTAGTTTGCCTATGTGTTAATCCTACCCTGACAATGATGTGCATATCATGGCTTAATAATTTTTAAAATATTTGTTAATAAATAAGCAAAATTACTTCCATATTGCACTGGGGCTTTCTGCATTGAATAAACAAATGTCTTATAAGACAAACATGTCCCTGCTGACTCATTTCTTCTAGGCATCTCAGCTGAAGTGAGTCTTAAAGCTGGAATTTAACAAAAGGAGGTGAAAGTAATGGCCTGAAGAACATGAGGCTTGGAACCATTTTGAGTGACCATATGGAAGAAGGTTAAAACAGAGACATTGAAGATGCTAACATTTGAGGCCCAAGGCTGACATTATTGGCAGAGAAGTACAAGCAAAGCATAATTCAAAAAAGGTAAAGTCAAATAAGAAGGTGGACATAGAGTTACACAAAATCTTAAAAATTAAAAGAAGGGACTTGAACTTAATGCAGTGAAGCATAGAAATCCAATGGGGGTAGTACAAGAAAGTATGACATGGCTGAACTGATGGGTGAGGAAACTGATCTTTACAGATACATTTTGTGGTGTTGATTATTATATTCTAACTTAAGAATCCTGTTGATACTGACTGGCACAGTGTGAAGATATTGTAATAGTTTTATAATACCCTTTCACAAAATAGGAAATTCTTTCTCTATCTAACTTTCTCTAAAATAGTATGCCTCTTCCCAGAGCTCACCGCTGAGTACAGGTTCAGAGTTCTGACTCCCCATTAAATCAAAGGTTTATCTCTACAAAAGAAAAAGGCCATGAAGTATTTACCAAGCACTAATCCATCTCTAGGAAACTCCCATCTTGAGTCATATGGCAATTGCATTGGGTCCACATAAATATATTCATGGCCGTCAGGACTGATTGATTCAATGACTCTCCATCTTATCTCATAGCGTGGCTTCTGCAATGCAGAAACAAATTATACATATATAGGTCAGGTTCATGCCTGCTTTAAGACTGAATCAAACAACAATATGAAGTTAGCATAATTTTTTGTGAGTTACCTGTTTCCATATGACGACCAGGACAATCAGTGAGATAATCACAATTACTAACAACACTAGGACTGCAGCAGCCACTGTTAACTCTGATCGCAATGCTGTCATAAAAAAAAGGCCACAGTTTAGCTTTGTCTCCTAAACCTAGAGGGACCTGACAGAGGTACAAGTTTGTATGGGACAATGAGACAGCCATCTCCTCTGCTGTCAAAGTTCATATGCTCTACAGATGTTGTAAGTGTCGTCCCTAAAGGCAAGGGATATTAAATCATTCGCCATCAAGAATAACTGTCTTCCTATCTAAAAGACAACCATAGGATTTGCTTGGAAGAAGCTTTCAAGGTCAATGGTAACTCAGATGAAAAGATGAATCATGGAACCACATAATACATGAAAGATGGTTCCAGAATTAAGACTATGAATAGCTCATATTCAGATGTCTCTATTTTCATATTTACTTACTAGGCTGTTGTTTTTTTATCTAGAAGACATGCATGCTGCATAATTACTTCCAGATTTGACTGGTTTTACTTAAGGAGGATTTCAAAATGATTGCCCTAAACTCACAGGAGGGACAAATTTAACTCACTAGGAGCCACAAGCTTCAGCTCCCGAGTAACGGCACCAAGGTCGTTCCTTGCAATGCACCGAACTGCCAGGGTTTCTTCTACCTTCTGGAAGGTCACCTGGCTTTCCACCATGTTCTTCTCATCCAAATGAGCCTCCATGCTAATATCTGAGATGTTGCTAGTCAGAAGTATCCATGAGGTATCATTGCTGCATCTACAGAAAGAAGAAACAGAAATAAATACATTTAATTTAGATATGGATGGGTAAGTGTGAACAAAGTAAGAATCACCTCAAGCAGTTCCATATACCCTGTCTCTGATGAGTCATTTTAAAAGCCAAAAATATTTATAGAAGCAACTATCCTTTTCCTAAGAATCTCCTGACCCCCTTCTTCTTGTTCCTGATGGATTTGTGGTCTCAACTAGCAAATACTGCTTTTGAGTCTCAAGCATTGGAGCCAAGCAGGTGTGGCAGGCTCTTTATTATGTTCTACTACTATTTAATCCACCCTTTGCATTCCTCTGGGGGTTTCTCATTACACTCAAAATTCATGACTCTGAGGCCTCAGTGCTGCACAAATGTATTTGGGGAATTGGGGAATCCCATACAGTAGTGTGAAATGTAGGTATAAGGACAGCCAAAAGCAATTGTGATAGTTTTTGTGATTTCTGGTCTCTACTAGGGCTGTAGTTTCCCTGTGTTGCTGTCTTCAAAGGGGAGAGAAAGAACTGTATATTTGACTCATGAAGATCCAGCCACCTGTGGTTGGCAAGAGGGTGACTCTCTCTCTAGCTCAGTAAATATGAACAGAATAATTAAACAGTGTGCCTGAAACTGTTTGAAAATGAAAAGTGCTACCATAATATACAGTAGGATCAGCTTCAAAAAGTTGGAGAATATAGACTTTCATAGACATTAGGGCTGGAAGGGACCTCAGAAGATCATTGAGTCCAGCCCCTGCCGGAAGGGCAGGAAGTCAACTGGGGTCATAGGATCCCAGCAAGATAAGCATCCAATTTACTCTTGAAGGTGTTCAATGTAGGTGCTTGAACCACCTCCGATGGCAGGCTGTTCCAGACCTTGGGGGCTCAGACAGTAAAGAAATTCTTCCTTATATCCAGCCTGAAACGGTCTTGCAGTAGTTTATAACCATTTGACCTTGTCATCCCTTGGGGTGCTCTAGTGAACAAACATTCCCCCAGATCCTGGTGGTCACCCCTGATAAACTTATAGGTGGCCATCAGATCACCTCTGAGCCTGTGCTTTTCCAGGCTAAAGAGCTCTCAGCCTGTCATCATAAGGTCTGTTTTCCTGACCTCTGATCATGTGTGTGGCTCTTCTCTGAACTCTCTCAAGCTTCTCCACATCCTTTTTGAATTGTGGAGCCCAAAACTAGACGCAGTACTCCAGCTGTAGCCTCACCAAGGAAAAGTACAGGGGGAGAATGACGTCCCAGGATTTGCTTGAGAAGCATCTATGGATGCAAGCCAGCGTTTTGGTTGCAGCATCACATTGCAGGCTCATGTTCATCTTGTGGTCAATGATGACCCCCAAGTCTCTTTCTTCTGTAGTGCTAGCCAGTGTAGCACTGCCAAGCCTATGAAGCACTGCTGAGCCTATATGAAAAGGAGATGGGGTAGGAGGGTTGGTCTAAGACAGTAGTGGCCAAACTGCAGCTCACAAGCCACATACAGCTCACCGGCAAGGTACTGGGGGAGAGCCCCATCCATCTCTCCTTGAGGGGACTCCAGGAGACAGAGCAGTCTGGCACTGGGTTGCCAGGGGCAGGGGTTGCAGCCATGCCACTTACCCCAGAATGGGCTCCCTGTGGGGAAAGCCGGAGTGGCTCAGTGGTGCAGGGGGTGGGATAGTCACCTCCACTCTCGGTTGCTCAGCACCCCCACCCCTCCACCCCAGTCTCCGACTTCAGTGGAGGATTGGATGTGGCTCCCAGGATGAGTAACTCTGGCCACCTCTGGTCTAAGAGATGGCAGGAAAGCATCTGATCTTCCTTTTTCTCATCTGAACAAGGCCTCTGAGCTTCTCTGAGGACCTGTGGCTGTGTCTACAAGAGACGCTGACAGCACAGTTGTTACTGTGCAGTCATTTAGTACTTGCTTACCCAAGTACTAAATCACTGCTCTGTAATCAACATTAGTGGGCAGTAATGACTGCACAGCAACTGGTATTACCATACAGTAGTGTCAACGCATGGCTTCCTGGTGATGCAGACTGTGCAGTAACTTGTTACTACTGCACAGTAGCTCATCACTACTGTGTAGTAGTGTCACATCACAGTTCATGCCCTGTGACTCTACTGAGCAGTAGTAACAAGCTACTGCATAGTAGTAATGAGCAACTGTGCAGTAAGCATCTTGTGTAGATGCAGCCACTGAGGAGAGATACATTGTTTTAGAGAAAACCCTTAAATATCATATCTCTTCTATGGGATTAAATCTGTAGACATGATGTTAACCATTTCTACCTAAACTCTACCTAACCATAAGGAACACGCCAGAGAAAGACAAATGTATTTTTTGTTCATAGACATCTGACAAGTCAAGAAAAAAACAGTCACATTTGAGATGAAGAAGCATCCATTTTTTCTTACTTTTTAATGTCCTTGCAAATTAGCCATTCAACATCAGGAAGAGGTGTCCCTTCTGCCAAGCACCTTACTGTCTGTCCCCCAGCTGAGCCATGATGATTATCCACAAGGTCTAGAATTAAGGCTGGAACTAGAAATGAATGGGGAAAAAAAGTCAGAAAGGCAGTAGGTTTTTCTAAGGTTCCAGGCAGCATTTCAGATGGAACAGAACAGAAGTCATTTGACCAGCAGACTGGTAATAACCAGAACTAGTTTAAAGTCAGGATTTCCACTTGATGGGAAATTTCAAAATTCTGCAAAAAATATGTTTTATTTGGAACAAACAGATTACACTTTGAAATATTCCATAAAAGGGAAAAGGCAAACAAAAATAATTTTGAAATAATCAAGAGATTACTTAGTCAGAAAACTCCCAGCCAGTACTCATAAAAGTCCAAAGTCCTGCCCCTAAGAGACACTGAAACTGCATCCAGAGGTTTTTGGTTGCTCCCCAGGAACTGATTCTCTACTTCCCTGAAGGAAAAAAATAAGTCAGATTGACTTCAATAGGAGGTATTCATATTTTGTAGGGTGGAATTGGGCCAAGACCTCAGGTCCATTCAGTACCTATAGTCACAGCATGGAAGTGCTATGCTGGACCTAGGGATTAGAGAAAGAAAGAGAAAACAGAGAATTTATGAGAGAGAGTAAGTTGATAGCAATTTGGATGTATATATCTGGATGCAACCAGTTGAGCTAAGCTTTAATCTCAGCAATACCTTGTATCAACTCTCATAATATCCTCTTAGATTACCTGAATATTGGGCCCTTTACAAATTCTTCCTGATTGGGATAAAATGCCCTGCTAGATGTCTGTCATCCCCATTTATCTGATTCCTGAATAAAAGCTTCCTGTCAGGGCTGTTGCAGGTAGCTGCACATGATTTCCTCCTCTTAGGAGTGTGGAAGAATTTTCTTGGAGCAGGAGCATCCATAAAAACACACATTTTACAGGATGGGATGTTAGTGCAGGGGACTGGCATGCCACCATTCTAATATACCTGTGTTTAAATTAACTAAATTTTTGCTGTCTACTACTATTTCTACAGCCCAAAAAAGGCTTACCTTGTATTAGTAATGAGAAAGTATATCTTTTAGTCTCATCTTCATTTTCAGCAACCAAGGTGTAATATCCACTGTCTTCTTCCTTGGCTCTAATCAACTTTAATGTACTTTGAAACCTATGGAAGCAAGAGATTTTGTTCACACTTTCTGAAAAACAGCAAACTTAATTAATCCAAATCAGTAGAAACAAACAACTGAATGGTACAATTAATATCTGTATATGGATGCTGTAATGTAGAGATGTTCTGCATTTCTATAATGCCTTGCCTATGTTTGAAAGAGCTGTTCAAACATTAACTAACTACCACAAAGTCACTAAAAAGTGAGCTAGCATTATTATTCCTTATGGGAAATTGGAAAGTTGCCTAATATGACTGAAATTGTAGGCAAGGGATTATTTTGGAAATAGAGTTTTGGAAAGAGGCCAGGTTAGTATCAAGACAGGACTACAGAGGATTGGAGGAGGTTACAGTAATTAATGTAACCGATGAGTACAGTTTGAGCAAGTGAATTAGCCAGTAGGATAAAGGATGGATATTGTTTTTTCAGTATTATTAAGGAAGATGTGGCAGGTTGTGGGGGAAAGAATAGGAGTCAAATATGCTGTTAGGTTGTGAACCTGTACAAGTAGAAAGATGATCATGTTGTCAACAGCAATGAATAAATGAATAAAGGAGAGAATGTGTGAAGGAAATATTGTGAATTTGATTTTGGCTTTTATGAGCTTGAGCTGACTGCAACTACCCAAAACCAGATGCCAGGGGAAAAAATAGATTTGTGAGACTAAGCCCCAGGAGATGCATATTTATGTGGAGAAGTGTATTTGAGAATTTACACCAGAAAGGAATTAGTTAAAAATATAAGAAAAAAGAAACTCAACTTTAGAGTGCAAAGGAAGAGTCCAACTAGAGAGACTTGACACATTCCTTCAGTGAGGTGGTATGGACGTCTCCAAAGGAGACATTTAAAGAACAGTGGAAGAAGCAGGAGAAAAAACAGGGAGAAGTCAAGAAGCAGAGGGAGTCAAGGAGGATAGAGTGATCAACAGCTGGGAAAAGACAAGGAAGATGAATGTGTATACATTTTTGCATAGCTTATATATATATATATAGTTAATATATATATACTTGCATATTTAAACAATGTCCTTGTTCTTCATTAAATTCTAGAAATAGATGTCATTAAGTGTCATTACGTGAAATCAGAAGATGTCTGTAGAAGAAACTTTCAAATCAATATGGCAAAATGACTTCTAAGATGCTTATTGAAACCTTGACAAGAACATTTTACCTTGTCTCATGGATCTTATTTGAACTAGTAACAATCTCAGTAAGATTCTCAATCAGGGTCACATTGTCCTTCAGCCAGAACATTTTTGGAGCTGGGTATGCGTGCACATCAACTACAAAATTTTTGACCTCATGGAGATTGACAGCTTCCAAAGGACTAAACTGGGGCTCCAGATGAATGAATCCTTTGTCTATAAATGATGAAAGTTTGCATAAATAATTCTGCCCAGAGTAGACTGGCATTTGTCAGTATGCAAATGTTTGAACACTAGAATCAGACTGTACCGTGAACTGTAATGACTACTCTCCTATTTTCCTTAACCTCCTTGGTTGCATGTCTGGCAGTGCATTCATAATCCCCAGTGTCTTTCACTGATGCCTCCGGAATGGTCAAGGTGTAAACCAGCTTCTGGTGTGGAACTTTTATGTCGTCAAGTTTTATCACACCTTTTTCTTTCTGTATTTTGGAGAGGGGAAAAATCTTACTTAAGCAACCAAGGAAAGTGTTAAAGAGCTGTGATATCACTTTAGTGAAAGCAATGAAAAAGGTGCTATTATACATTCCAAATTTCACATGCTAAAGAAACTGCAACATACAAGACATATTTTCAACTATGAATGAAAGGGGATCCATAAAAATACACATTTTTGGAGCTAACTACAGAAGAATGAGTAAGTTAAAAAGTTGTGTATTTTGTGCAGATGGAGTAAATTGCCGTCTAAAAATTAGGTGAAGAGCCTGAAAGAGCATTTTAGTGCTAACATAAGCTAAGAGATTGTCTCCTGTGCTCATGGGGTGGGGAGAGAAGCATAAAGCTATTGATTATCATTCTGGTAGTCTTTATTCAATTTCACAAAGTGAGACCAATTCTTAATGCCTGCTTCTAGTGACCACATTCTATGTGCCCTGCTTTTGAGCATAGTACCTTAGCCAGGCGTTCTTACAAGAACAAAAGTGTTCCAAATGGAAGGCAGCACATTCATTATGACTAAGGAATTGGAATAAAATAATATGTTGGATATCATAGGCATTGACTCTTATTTTTCTGAGGGGGCCTAGATGATGGACATGTGGAAAGGTTTATGCATTTCAGGTGACAGCCCTCTTCCTGAGGGGGGCCAGGGCCCTTGAGCCCCCATGTACTTGGCACCACTGTTGGATATGGCATGAAACTAGAATGATTCATAGAAGGACAAGGTTGTGATATTTGAAACTGAAAGTAAAATGAACATTTCCTAAATTAAATATTTTATTCTTGGACCTTGGGCGAAATTATCAGATTTTTTACTCAGTGCTAGAATCACACTATACTTTGATGTTCTGACTATCATGGGATTCTACTAAACCTTTGCTTTAGAACAAATACTATGACAATTGGGACTGGTTCACCTCTCACAATGGGGTTTGATTAGTGTAACTCCACCGATTTTAATAGTTAATACTGATTTATATCTGTTTAACTTCAAGAAAAATCAAAACCTCTGAGCCTGTGATTTTAAGGAAGTAATTTTTAGAGACTCACAAATGTATGTGAGCAGCAGGTTTAGGTTCAGGTACTATGCGAGTCATTTCCCAAATGTTCTGTTTTGTTCCAAGAGACATCCCTCCCTCATTACCAGACTCCATCTTCCTAAAACTTTTGCACACTCTTAGCTAGCCCTCATCTTCCTCTAATATTCTGAATTCTTACTAACAGTGACTTCTAGCTCCTGATTCTTACTTTCGGTTGTGATAACCTAATAATATAAAAAAATTCATTTTCATGTTCATCTGGCTCATTCAAACAGCAAAGAGTTGACCCTTTTCAGCCTCATATTTTCCTTCATTGATGATAACACAATTATTCAGAAAGACAAAAGGAATATTTACCACTTTCCCTGGATAATTCCAGTCTAAATTAACAACCTCGTTGTGAGAGACCACACACGTTACAACAATGGTTTCGCCTTTTTTGTATACAGTTTTAAGGGCTTCAATCTTAACTGGCAGCTGTGAAGTAGCTGAGGGGAAAAATAGAGAGAAAGTGCACCATGTTTAAAAACCATATGCAGTACATGAAAAAAGTTTACAGTCCAATCTCATTTGTGCTATTGTAAAGCAGAGATAGCTCCAGTGAATCAGTGGAAGCAAGTCTGTTTAACATTGGTGTAACCACCAAGAGAATATAATCTCTCTTGGTTATTTTTAACAATTTCCAGAGTGGATTTAAAGTACTAAAATTCTATGAAATCTTAGCACTTTCCAGCTGGATTTCAGCAAATACAATGGAAGTGTCAAATACAGACCACATTCCTTGTAACAAATTCCCCCCAGAATTAAAGGTATTTTACACTCATCAATTTCACCCAAGGAGAAACCTATACTTTTAAAACTTTCAGAAGCACCTCACTAATTTAGGCCTAGTCTTCATGACAAGACTATGCTGCCATTACTCAAGTTCTGCCAACCACACTGTGAAGGCATTCACCCTCATAAACCCCTCTACAATGGCAGAATCCTCCTTTTGCTAGTAGAGTTACTCCACATCTGCTGAGTAGAGTAAGGCTTTTACCACCACACAGCACCACGCACACCCTATATGTGTCATGTGTTGCTACATGACACATGTAGGAACCCCCATGCCCTCAGCCAGCACACATGCATATGTACCAGCCCAACTGCTGTGGGGAGCTGTGAGGAGCTTTCAAAAACCCATGGCTGGGTTTGCACTCTGACTGCTTGGTTGTGGTGGCTACTGTTTCCTACCACAAGGCAGTCTTAACAATTTCATTTTCAAAAGTGACTTAGGGCATTGTTTACACTATAACTACTAGAGGTGTGATAGAGATTTTGAGGGCTGATACCAATAGCTGATATCTAAGGAGGCATATCGACCCATACTGATCCGATATCCGATACAGCTCCCTTCAGCTGGTAAGTCCAGTGTGGTGGAAGGGTAGGGGAGAGGGAAGAGGCATGGGTGGGGCAGATCAACGCCCCCCCACAGTAAGGGAGGGGCTAGGGGCAGGCACTGCCCAGCCAGGGTGGAGGGGGGCCACAGAACAGAGGGGCAGCTCCCAACACTGTTTGCACACCGGAGGGCAGGGGCAAGAGGGGCCTGTGCCCCTGGATCTGTGCGGCATGGGGCGGGTGACAGCTGTGGGGAGGAGCTGGTGCTGCACAGGGCTGTTCTCACTGGGGGCTGGGCTCAGAGCAGGCTCCAGCAGCGCTGGGAGGAGGCTGCAGCCACTCCAAATTTCACCGCAGCTCCACTCCCAGCCCTGCACCACTGCCTGGTGCATGGATGGAGTGGGGCATTCAGCTGGGGCTGTGCCAGGCAGCAGGTGGTGATGCGGGGCTGGGAGCGGAGCTGCAGTGAAATTTGGGGTGGCTGCAGCCTCCTCGCAGTGCCACCAAAGCTCGGTCTGAGTCCAGCCCCCAGCGAGAAGAGCCCTGCATAGTGCCAACTACAGCTCCAACCTGCAGCTGCCACCTGCCCCATGCTGCACCACGCCACGCAGATCTGGAGGCACACGCCTCCCAGCCCCCACCCTCTAGGGTGCAAACAGCGTCGGGAGCCATCCCCACCCCACGAGCCATGCCTCCGTCCTGGGTCCCCCCTACCTTGGCTGGGCAGTGTCTGCCCCTGCCACTGCCCCCTCACTCACCACGGGAGGCATTGACCTGCCCCCTGCACCCCCTTCTGTACCCCTCCCCTTCTGACTTACCAGCTGGAGGCAGCTCTCCATGCTGCCGGCTCTGCTCCCTGCTGCACTGCAGCTGTATGCAGCACGGGCATTTATCAGCCAAATTATCTGCCCCATAGGTCTGATATCCAATATGGACAATTTTCTTCATATTGGTACTGATCTGATATCAGACTGATGTATTGGTGCACCTCTAGCAACTACCATTGTGACTGCTGATTAAGAAGACACGTCCAAATCAGCTTTAAACTAGTTACCTCATCAAATACTACTAGCAGTGTAGCTGTAGTAGCCCAGAGCTCAATGCAGTTTAACTGCCTGAGTATGTACCCCACATTATATTGCAGCTGCACTGTGCTTCACACCATAAGCTACACTCCTATCAGTGCGTGAGCCACTTAGTTTCAAGTTCTCTCAAGTGTAGCCACACAATCTGGAAACACTGAAGTAACGTCAGTGTAGTCATACTCTTTAGCACTTAGGGCTAGATTTGAAAAGTATATAGGCACCTAAATATACACATATGTGCCTCATGTGATTTTAAAAGCATGCAAACAGGAGTTCCTATCTAACCTAGGAACTTCTGTGTACCCTATCCAGTACCTAGCTACATCTTTAGGAACCAAAATGTCTTTGCAGATCTCTTAGTAGCCTAAATTCCAAAAATTATCAATAACACTTAGTCTCCCATGGATGTAGCTACACATGCACTTTAATGCAGAGTAAACTAATTAGGTCCACAGTAAAGTGTCACCGTCTACACATGCATCAATATTGGGGCACAGTAAATTAATTAAGCCCACCGTAAGATAGTACTGTCAGGTATGGTACTATCTTACAGCCGAGTAATTGACTATGATAAAATTCATGTGTTGATGGTGACTGCAGGCAAAAATGACACCTGGTCAGCCGGAGGCCAGACTCCTGCCTGCCACCTAGCCATGCAGCTCCATACTTTCAGCACTCTTGTGCCCCAGCCAGCCCCTCCACCACCCAACACTGCCATCCAAAGCCCAGGGCTCACTCCCTGAGCCTGCAGCCAGCCTGTGCCTGCTCTTCCCAAGCTCAAATTGTTGCTGTCCTGGGCACATGTGTAGATGCTGTGCCTGGGAACAATGTACTCCAGCTCAAACAGCTCCAGAGTTTATCCCTTTGCATTAATGGCATATGTAGATGCACCCCAAGTGTCTAAATTACCTTTGAAAATGGATCTTAGGTGCATAAGTCACATAGGCACTATTAGAAAATTTACCACTATTCACTAGAACATAGGAATTGTTATATCAGAACAAACCAATGCAACATCTAGTAAGTATCATTTCTTAATCAACAGACAGAGCCAGATGTTTCAAATGCAATGTAATCTGTAGGGGAAGAGAAAAGCTCTTCCTAAACCCAGATAATGAACTGTTCATGTCCTGAATGAAAAAGAATTATGGATCTTATGACAGAAGTAAGAAAAGAATCATGATCACCATTTTTTATTTCCCCTCCTATGAAAAATGAAAAGGGATTACCTCTCAAAATATAGATAAAGAACTCATCAGACTTGAACTCCACTCCTTTAACAGTTGTTTTGCATGTGTATGTGCCTGCAGGAAAATTTCCTATGAAGCCTTGCTTGCTATCATAAAAAGCATATAAGGGCTTGGCTTCACTGTTAATTAAGGTTACTTGAGCATCAGGGTCAGTTGTACGACAAGGGATAACAGTGGAATCGCCTTCTTCTATTAGGATGAATTGATCCTCTTGTAACGTAGGAACAAAAGGGATATCTGGATCTATAAAAAAAAAAAGTATTTTTACATTGTATTGTTTTAATACTTCCATAGAACAGGAGTAGAGGGATCTTCAGCTATTAAGCATCTTGAATTAAATTGTTTTTCCTTGCTTTTCCAGAGGTAACTGTTAACAGACATTAAAGTAGCATGCTGCACCTGATACAAACTCACAATGATGAGGTGGCTAGCAGATGGGACTGTAACCAGAGATCCCGTTTGCCCACAAAGCACAAAGAATTATTTGTAACAGAAAGTGTAAGGCCATCAGGAGAAAAGTAAGGGTTGCTATTTCTTTTCCATTTACATCTGGTGGAGGTTCTCCAAAGTGCTATTCACTGGCAAAATTAGATTAAATGACAAAAAACAAGATAGTCACTAATATTGACATGTAAAAAATGGTCACACTTTTCAGTGGAATGAATTAAAAATAAAAGGCTCAGTTTGGATATTTCTATATAGACTCACTGAAATCAAATTATACCAAAGTCTTTTGGGCAGATTTTGAATCCAAAAGTCCAATTTTCAAGCTGAAAAGCATTAACCTGTACTTTGGACATATAATATATGCCACAAACAATAGGGAGATTAAGCAGAAGAGAATGAATGTCTTGGCATTTACTGCCATTTATTCTAATTCCTTTATAGTTGTGATATCGGAGTCCATATAACTAAACAACCCTAGCAATTTTTGTTTTAAAATGGCATTACAAACCAAAGACATTGAATAGTTTGGGTTTGGCTAAATTAGTTAAAGCCAGATTTAATCTGAAAATAGTTATAGCTACATCACTTTGTTTATATATTGCTAAAATGCCCATTATTGGGCCATTAACTCAGATTATCACATGTCATCTCCAAAATTATAAACCACAACCATTAGAAAACATAAAAAGAAAAAAACCCCAAATGTGTAAAAAATGAAAACTACAGCTCCCAAATCATCAAAATCTGTCATTTCAAAATAAACAACTGCTGCACAACTACATGCTTATGAGCCAAGTGTTATAGTAAATTTTAACAATGGGAGTATAAGCCCTCCAACACTAGAACATTGAACACTGGCAATCTTTATAAAAATAATCCAAACTGGCACTCTATGGCCACGTCCAGACATGCATGGACATTTGGTTCTCTGGGGACAACTAGCAGCAGCTTTGGTTCTTGCACCACTGCTAGTTGTCCCTAGGGAATGCCTGTGCCCCACACACTCTGGAGCACAGCAAGTTACCCCAGGTAGGTGAGGGGAGGGTGGGGCCAGCACTGGACTGGTCCCAGCAGCCTTACCTGGGGGCCTCCTGGGGCTGTAGCTGCGTCACTCCTGCCACACAGAGCCTGGCCAGCAGTGGAGTGAAGCTCCAGCCGGCTAGGCTCTGGCTTTGGGCAGCGTGTGCCACCATGTGCGCTTCTCCAGTTTTATTTTTGGTAGGGATATCCAGGGGTCAGAAGAACCATCTACGCTGCTCCCTTGCAGCACACAGAACAATGGAACATGCGGTATGTGGCACCACATATGGCACAACAACGCTCATTTGGACACAGCCTATAAGAATTTTCTGCCAATTATATATATTTATTTTCCAAATACAATTTAATACGGAAAGGGGATTTACCTAGATTTTTTTTCTGCCTGCATTAAAATTGCAACATTAGGAGCATGCACAGAAGTGCTCAATGCATGTTTTACAGCAATGTAATTTAGAGCATTTTTTGAGGCATTATGAAGTTTCAGTGCTCTTAAACATGACAGAAGTGCAGCATTTGTTTGGGGAGGCCCCTGAGCCTGATAAGCACAAGGAGGCAGGGGGCGCTTTACAACCTCCTGGGGCTTTTCCACTAGCCAGAAACATGGCCTGCTTCCAGAAGTTTTTAGAGCACTATTGGATGCTAAAGTGCTGTAAAAAACAGCATTTCAAATTTAATACTTCATTTAACAAGAGTTATTTAAAGCACTGTACCCATTTTTAAAGTACTGCAGAGCTCTGCAATCTGTTAAATCACAGCAATAAAGCATTTTAAATGAAGAAAAAAGAAGCTTCTGTCATAAAACTGTATACACCCTATGTGAAGCTTTGAAGTGGCTTTTTCTTGACAAAGAAAGTCTTATAATTTATTTCAGGGAAAAGAATGGTTTTGTATCCAAAATCAAGACGGTTTGCTGTGGAAAGGGAAATTTTACAATTCTAAAATTTGTAGAAAAAAGACTATACTGAATTTTCAATAACTGTTTTAAGAAGTGCTAATGTTTCAAGTTTGTTATGGTAAATATTGAGGGAAAAAAAGGAAAAATCAGGGATGTCTTTACACATGCTCTGGGGTGGGGGAGTCACTTTAATTAAAGTGCTTTAGGGAGCTGCTCTAATTAAAGTACTAGCAGTGTCTCGTGTATTCAGCATCCCACACTTCAAAATGGCAGCCCTTTTGAAGCACAGGGACACTGAATATATGAAACGCTAAGGCTGCTGGAGCATACTATTTTGCTTACATTAATCGAGTCTCCTCTGACACATGCTAGTTAGGAACAGGCATCAGACACCCTGTGTTACCAAAGACACAAGCCATAATCTACGGATACTCAGCTACCTTTGCAAAATGAACCTTCAAGTTTTGACTGTTCAGAAAACCTCTAGTACTTGCTGTATATTTCTCCTTATATAATCTTATTTTTAGCCCCAGACATTTTTCCTTCCTTTACAATCACATTCAAGTGTTGTGGGGTGAATTTCAACCTCTTCCCATTTTTCTGTACTGCCCTGATAGCCTACTTACTCAAGAACAAACACAGTAATTCTACCAGTGTGGACTTTTGTCCCATGAAGTATGAAAAAGACGTATCCTTACATTAACTTATAGACCCATGTTTCTTCGCACTGATTCCCTACCCAACCCCCATATAAAAATTCAAAGGTATCAAAAGTTACGGATGTAAAGAACTTAGACTTCATGGGCTCTTGTATTAATCAATTATAGCTCAGTTTGTGTGCTATTATAACTATGAAAAATACCAACAAAAAAAAAAAGAGAGAGAGCGATTTTGACCCTAGCCTTAGAAGACCTTCCTGGGACAACCCATCTTAACAGAGCATGTGGGTGGGGATAATGGTGGACACTTTTAAAAGGGCAGGGGAAGTTAATAGGTGGAGTGATGTTCCCTGAGATTTACAAGGGGGGTAGGAAGCAGGGGGCGGTGGATCCAGTAGATTTTCCACTGTGCAGGAAAGGCAGTTTAGAGACAGGGAAGGCAGTACACTGTAAAAATGCTATAAAAATTGCAAAGCACTGTAGGAAATTATAGGTGGAAACATAACATTGTTTGTCTCTCACAAGACTGTCCAGCAGTGCCATTTCTTTTTTTAAACTTTTCTCAAGCATA